ATATGCCACTGCCTCCAAGAAATCTATCATTTGATTCACAACTTGTTACTGAATTATACTGTTTTGGGGAATTTCACCCCTCATCAGTAACGTTGGACTAGGGCAAATTGAAAAAAAAAGACGAGATCAGATATTTTACAGTGACAAACTATATATATTATATATATGGTAGTTAACAGAAAGTTCAAGGCCTCAGTTGGGCAACGTATAAATATAGGCTACCAAGTGAATGCAAGTAAAGTGAAATTCAGTCAAGAAAAAAATTAGTTAGTGGAAAAAAACATAAAGTTAGCCACTGTGTGATTAGCCTTAATGTGTAATTTATATAGTGTGTTTCACAGCTGTATTGTAACAACAGAGATAGAAAAATAATTTGTCTTGTCAATTGGGTTCTTAAGTAACTGAACCAGCTTGTATGGACTTTTGATGAAAAAAAGAGACAATTATTTAAAGCTCTGGATACAACTGTGGTAACCAACAAAGGTTAAGTGAAGGAAGTCAGAAAAAGTGAAGTTAGACTGTGTGTTTGTTAGTTTAGCCATATTGGGTGATATTTTAAAGTGAATTTCACAATTTAACAGGGATGAGAATAATTTGTATTGTCAAAGGTGTTTTAAAGCAATTGAACCCATCTATGTGGACTTTTATGAAAAGGAGACAATTATTTAAAGTTCGACATACAACTATGGTAACCCATGGAGTAACGTAAGTGAATATATCACAGATTATACAGTAAGTAACAGAGTAAAGAAAATTAATTCATCTTGACAATTGGATTCTAAAATAATTGAATGTGGACTTTTGAAATGAGTATTATTTAGAGTTTTAGATACAACTGTGATATCCTATAGTGTAAAGAATTTTTGTACATACATTTGACTTGATTTGAATACATTATTATAAAACAAGTGGATTGTGTGATGTCTGTTTATTGTTCAAATGTATCACCAACAAGTCATAGACACCTACTGTAAAAGAATCCCAGCCCACTCACATTTAAAACTCTGACACTTTCCCTCATGTACCACCCTAAATTATTTCATAACTGTACAGGAATAAGATGGGCATGGAAAGAAACCAATTTTTCTGATATCTTTTATGATTATGGCTGACTTAACTACAAATGTTTTTTGATGGGTAATGTGTGGTGGTATCATAGAAATAGTGTGTGATGACTTCATATACAGTACAGTACACATTATTCCTTTGTCTAGCGATAGCAACAATATTAAAACTTTTTGTTTCTTCACATGGAGGTTAAAACTTGTTGAGTATGTAAGTATCTATATCTTTGTGTTGTCTTTGTTGGAGATACTGGACAAGAAAAGATAGTCTTGTGTTTCTGTATACTTTTTTATCATAACCAGAAAATACATGCTACAGATTTAAAACAAAGTTTCTTTTTTAGCCCAAACTATCAACATAATGAACAAGCTTTATGTAAAGCTACAGAAAGGCATCACAGGCATCTGTCATTCTTAAGCTAAATCAGGTTGTATATGATATTATATATTCACTTTTGAGAAGGGTTGTGGGTATAAGATTGTGTGAAAAGCTATAATTTACTCATAATACTAAGCTCATTCAAGTAGAAATTTTTGAGATTCAAAAAATAACAAAATGAATTAAAAATTTATTTTATTCACCAGATGGAGGACATAATTGAGAAGATGCAAGATGAACAGACTGGAGTTCTTGTTAGAACTGTGAAAAGCTTCATGACCAAGATTCCAAGTGTTTTCACTGGTATGGATATTTTTTACAAGATTTATAAAAAATGATCAGTGACTATGAACTACAATATATAGTGTAAATAAGGAAAACACTACATGGCATAAAAAGAAACTGTTACTACTACAAAAAGCACAAGTATAGGAAAAGAAACCAAGTGAGACTTTGATGAAAGAAATAACTTAAAATTATTACCCAAGAAATGTAGTTTCCAGCTTTTATGACACTGTCTAAATAATATTGAGGAAACAAGCTCTGCTACAGGACTAATAAAGTTATTAGGTGCATATGCATAGTTTAATGAGCAATTGTATAATCATTATCAACTCTATTAACTCATTATATTTGTTTAACATAACATTTTAGGGAAAACAATCGTAAAAACATCAAACCCTGATCATTTACATACTCATCAAGCCTTTACTTAGACTCGTTTAAATTTACTGCATCCATCACATCTCAGGGCAACCCATTCCAAAGGATAACCACCCTGTTAGAAAAGTAAAACTGTCTAAGCTGAAAGTGCTCCTACCCTGCCAAAATTTATATTTGTGCCTTGTCATTCTCACCTTTGAATACAAAACAAGATGATACATCAATACTTTCAATTACCTTAATAATATTGTTACGTCTCCGTTTGTTAATTAACTTTCCGTAACTTCCTTCCGACGAAACTTTACGATACACTTAATTTCAACAATCCCACTAAAACAAACACTATAACAACGAACGTGCACAATAATATTCTCTGACTGCAGATCAATTACTCACTGTCTACACACACATTACATTATTCCTCTTATATATACCAGACTACCCTATATCTAGTAATCTCCCGACAATTCACGAAGGTACAAGATATTTCCAGAAAGCAGGGGGCGTGACACTAGTCACGTGACCTCGCTAACGCAACACTGCCCCCTCCTTAATATTGTTCATCCCGAACAATAACCACATACAATAAACCAATAACAATTAACAATAACTTAATTAAATGTACAGAATTACAATCACAAAATTACAATTCAACAACGTCTCTTAATTTTACGGGACGTATCTTCTACCGTACTGGTCCCCCTCCCGCTG